AAACAAATGAAAGAAAAAGGTGTAAAGCCGACACTAGTTACATATAATATTCTTATAAAGGCTTTACAAGAAATGGGAAAACGTACTGAAGCATTACACTTTTTCGATCAAATGGAGCTTGAAGGCATAAAACCAGATTCTTCTACTCTAGAAGGGATTGGCATAACTGGATTACAAGCTTTGTTAAAACTGCGAAATACTTATAAAGTAACGCCAAACCATGCAGATTTCAACACGTGTATGGATCAAGCTCTCAAAGAATCAAAATACAATGACGCTATGGAAATTCTTTCATATATGCAAGAATCTGGTTTTAAACCGAATGTTTCAACCTATTCCATATTGATGAATGCCCATATCAGGCAAAATGATATGTTTAGAGCCATGGAATTATTTACTGCAATGAAGAATGATAATGTTGAACCTGATGATTATATTTACGCTTCCCTTATTGATGGTTTTTTGGCACAGAATAATGTTGAACAAGCTTTCACCTTAGTGGATCATATGTTTGAATCCAAGGTTAAGTTAAATAAAATGACCGTAAATAGATTAATAGATACTGCCTCAAAGTCTAAGGATCCTAGATTGGTTCAAAGAGTTTTTGAACGAATAGAAAGGTTAACGATACCAAACAAGGATGCTTGTGAAAGAGTTCTCTGGCGAATCGCTCAATCATATGATGTACCTGTAGTGGAAAAATATTTAAAGATAATGGACAAGCATAATCATATGATTAATAGAGAAACATTTACTGCAATAATCACTGGTGCAAGTAAAGGTGGCAACTTACCTCAGACCAGATATTGGTATAATCTAATGATTAAACGGGGAATTTCGCCAGATCATATGTTACTTTCTATGATGATAAGAGCTCACGCTGATGCAAAAGAAATAAATAAAACTTTATCATTGTGGAATGATTTTCATTACTTTAGTATTGCGCCTGATGATGACGATATTATGTATGTACTAAAATTATGTGCAGAAACAAATCATTGGAGGGATGAAATCAGAATTCTTGGACAATTAAAGGAGTTAGGTTATGATGCTGATTCATACAAAGCAAAAATATCGGAACAACAACAATCTAATAACGGGATTGAAACAAAGACGGACCCGGATGAAGAGTATTATGAAGAGTACGGGGAGTACCTTAAAGCAAGATTGGCTAATAAGTCTGTTATAAAGGCAAAGGAAAGGATACAGAAATGGGTTCGAGATGTAGCGAAAATAAGTTCTCAGAAAATGGATGATAACGCTAAAATTAGAGTTGAGCAATGGACTCCTTACAGGAAACATCCGTTACCAATAACTGGACGAAAGGTTAAAAACTAGTATGTATAAAATTCATTTTCATGAGATGTCTATTTTTTTTTTGACATTTTGAACTATCATAATCATTAAAACTAAATCAGAGAAAGTACAATTCATTAATGCATTACCAAAATATGTTTTCATTATATTACTAATTTGTACTCATTGAAAGATGCTTAATTAAAAATTAATAATTCTTTATTTATATATTTATGGGATGTGGCAATATCAAAAAGGTTGTTACTAAGTTGTTTCGATTGATTGCAGTAAAATATATGCTTATTAAATTGTATTATAATTAGATTTAAAATTTCAAGTTGTAAAAAATAAAACTCTAAATATAGTTCTGAATTCAAACTAGTAGAATCGAATTAAGAAGCGAATGAGAAAAGCATTAGAAACTTTTATAGATATAACTTGTTCTATGTATAATATTGATAGCAACGAGGTGTTGATGTCAATGAAATTGAAGTTGATATTAACGGAGCTAATGATCTTGGCTAGAGCTGTAAACTTAAATTAAATTTATTATACTTTAAGTGATTAAATTGTATCAGATTAGCAAGAAAATTTTCAACTGATTTTCGTATATTAAGTCTGCTTGTTATTTCGATAATTCTTTTTTTTTTTTTTTTTTTAACTAACTAGCCTCCTCGGGGCTAAGGTTTTTATTCAAGTATTGTTGAGTTTGGGGACTTGCGGCTAACGCCTCATGGAACCCCGTACATTAGAGAGTACATTCTAGCCATACCTGCGCCTTTTGAGCGCCTAATTAAGTAGTTTGCCTATTACTAGACTCTACACTAGGTGCCGTACCTGTAACCCAACTATGAGATTACCCGTTTAAACCCTCTGTAATGCAACTCTACCTGTGTCACCGGTACATCTCCGTTACATCAGTCAGTTGAGAAGTCCCGGATGCTTAACCTATTCCCTATAGGACTACTTTATCCTTGAGGCATCGTCACTAGAGCCACCCGTTACCCACATCAAATGTATAGACCTAGTTTTCTTTGGATAGGAACTACCAGATAGAGTCTATACCTTTACAGGTAGGTCGCACTGCCAATCCTTTCTACAGACACATTAGCCAGATAGGTTCTAAGCCTTTACAGGCAGGTTGCACCGCCTAACTACCTGGCCCTTGTAGAGTTCATCCAAACCCCAGCACCCACTATACAGACCATCCCCGTATTCCTGTCACTCCAAACTACCAATCCAGATGGCCCAGAAGGATTGTGACCTGTTCTTGGTCTCCATGGTTGGGTTCTTTTCCTCTGGTTACTCGTCTGGTGGCCTGGTTGGTGGAGTGCCTTGCCAAGCACTTCGGTCCCGTTCAGTTCTCGTTACTTCCGGAGATAATTTTTTAAGTAGTACCGTCAAAGATCTGTGTTACCTATAAACATAAAAAATTTTTAAATTGTTTATATATAATTATTAAACATGATTATAATACAAAAAACTTTCAAACTGAAGAATTATATACTGTAAAATATTGTAGTTTTAAAGTACAATATAGTGATAGCAATGGTTAATACAATTTCAAAAGGTAAAACTCAAATTACTGTAATAAATTAGAGTAAATAATTGAATTTTATGTCTAGTACAAAAGAAAAGTGAAACAATTATTATAAAATACACTTATGGTGTTTATAATATTAATAAGTTTTTTGCTAAAATTTAGGGTTAGATAGAGGTTAGATATAATGATCCAAAGTTTAGTTAGAATAAGGTTTTTGGGATGCTGTTCAACACCAATAGTGCATTTTAGTAAACCGAAACAGAAGAAAAAATGAATGTTTAAGTTAATCTTGTAATTTTATATTTTAAAATAATTATTTTTTAAATTAAATAGTTGATTTTTAATATAATTTAAATAGATACAGTATTAAGAATTATCGAAATGAGGGTGTGGTGACTTAGTTAAGTTGGCAAGTTGTTGCACCTCCAAGCAGCAGGACCAAAGTTCGAATCCTACCGGTGACGAAAATTCGAATTTACAGAAAATGTATTTGGAAAGACTGTATCCTATTGGGTTATAAAACCTGTAACAGGGTCGTATTAGCTTGTACTGGAAGGTAGTGGAACATGTAGTGTAACATACAAGTTACACAAAACCCAAGTGAAGCTATCAAGTAAATCCAGCAGATTGACAGGATACAGTAGCCTGCTTGGCAAGACCTGAGTAGAGAGGTATAAAGTAAAAATAATTTGAAGTTAATTCTATTAAAAAATTGTACTTGCTTGATAACTAGGTATATTACTTAGATATAGTTATTTTTTATATAGGTATCTTTTATATAATTATATTATATACTATATAATTATATATTTTTTTTTTGATGTTAAGGTGACTTCTTGGTCATATTCTTTTATTTGATTATAGTTTAATTTTTACAGTATAGTATACATCATACTATATATATATTTGAAAAGTACAACTAATTACATCTATTTAAGTAGTTTGTATATAGATAGTACACTATAGGTTTTATACTAGATACTATATCTATAACTCAACTAGAGGTAGGGTGTGTGGATAACAAAAACAGTTGGTATGCTATTAGCCAAAATTTATATTATACAGTATTATACTATTGGCATACTATTGGCATGCTATAATATTATTGAACTATCTTTCAAAATATTTTAGACCTTTGTTCTAATTTTTTTTATAATTTATATTGTTTGTTTTTCTATTCAGAAGTTTTTGGAATATTCAAATATCAGTTTAGCCAGAGCAAAACATATTATAAGTGTTGCTAAAAGAAAGCTAACAATTTAAATATAAATCAAAAAATAATTTTTAAAATATACAGAAGCTCACTACTCATACTATTGACTAAGAATTACAAAATATAACTTTGCTTTTAAATAATAATTATTTTTTATAATTTATTTCATAGCTTCTTAAACTCACTTTGGTTAATACAATAATTAAAGCATTTAAGTTATATTTGATCTAATATTTTTAAGCATATTATAAATTCTCAAAATAACAAGCATATATACATTATTTTGAATATATATACAGGTGTTATTTTGAAACAAATATAAAATTATATATATTTTTTATATAAAAAGTAAATAAATAAAAATATTTTAAAACAGAGTTTAAGTTTTATGCTTTAGTAGTTAAGCTCTCAAACTCTTACAAACAAGATTAATAGTTCAAGTCAGACTAAAAGCAAATTATTAATTTGTTTCTATAACTTTTAGAATTATAATTGAATACAGAGCCCTGTAGTTAAGTATAATACTAGAATAGAAATTCCTGAAAAGAGACCTAAATGTGAAAAGTGGGCATTATGTATAATTGTGGTATTATAAAAGACTGTAGCTATATTGGGCTTCCTCTTTCTCCTTTTATAACTAATAGTAGCTAATTTTAAATTAGTTTATAAATAGAAAATTAAGAGGTGTTTTGCTACATCTAGGTGGTTATACAAGATATAATAGATAGTTAAAATTTAATATCATCTTGATACAAATCTGTAACT